CGTGCCTAGCAGTTAGAGCAGGATCAGGCCCAGTGGTTGGAGCAGGCATCAGTAGCCAGGAATCAGAGTCCAGGCTCAGAGCAGGAGTCGGAGGCCAGATGCCAGAGCCCAGCGTCACAGCCGGAGTCAGGAATTGGAGCCGAGGGTCAGAACCAGGTTACCTGGCGTGAGGCAAGGCTGGGTCCAAGGCAGGAATTGGAGCCGAGGGTCAGAACCAGGTTACCTGGCGTGAGGCGAGGCTGGGTCCAAGGCAGGAATTGCAGCCGAGGGTCAGAACCAGGTTACCTGGCGTGAGGCAAGGCTGGGTCCAAGGCAGGAGCAAGGCTTGGAATGAGCAGGAGCCATCTCAGCCGCGGGTGAACGCTCTGAGCAGCTGCTGATCTGCTGCTGTTGCTGGACTCGAGAGCTGCTCTGTCGACTCTTCCAGCCAATCAGCCGTGGAGCCAATTAGGCAGCCTGCTACAGGCTGACTGTGCTCATTAGCTTACCCAGAGACTTGCTCTGCTGCAGGTCCTGATCCCTGAGAGCCACCTCCCCCTCCATCCATTTTGTGTGGGGTTAGGTGTGTCCTGAGAACACTCCTGGATCAGGCCCTGCAGGCCAGACATGAGGGAATGGAACCTTCTGGGGTGTCGGTGTGAGGCAGGTTCCCAGGTGTGATGCGGCTGTGTGCCTGCTCACTGGCAGAAACGTAGGCACCTGGGGGCTATAATGGTGGAAATGTAGCTGTCGAGGGACTTTAGGCACCTACAGGGTCAGGTGGCAGCTGAGCGGTGGTGTTCTGAATGCCCAGGGTGCCCCATGCTGGACTTGGGGGGTTAAAATGGCACCTAACTCCTTTTCATGGATCTAGCCCTGAAGACGCAGTTGTACCAGACTTCACAGGGGTTACTTACAGACTCTGTTTCACATGAGGCCAGGGTGAGTGAGCCGAGCAGAGATACTGGGGCATCGTCTCCTTCTCAGAACATTTCTCCTAGTTTAGAGACCAGCTCCATCCCAGTTAGTTTTGCCTGAAAAGAAACCATCTAACCTGACATATAGTGTTGGTGGAAGGGACAAGCTTTTGATTCACCAGAATCCGGTCTGATCTGATCTGGTCGGTCTCTCTGCTGTTTGTCGGTTTAGGGTGTCGTTTTGTTGTTGCTGGGCTCACCCACGTCTAGAGATTCTGACATGGCCGGCCCAGGTGTGTCTGGTTTTCTGTGGGCATGCATAGGCGGTCTTGGTGCTGTTATATGGACTCTTCAGCTTTGGGTTCAAGAGCCTTGGTCAGAACTTTCTGAGCATCTTCTGCAGCCTCATGCAGAAATCTCTGCAGCAGGTAGCGTGTGGTCACGAAAGAAATCCCTCCCCCTGCCAGGGACCCAAGGCCTGGTACAAAATCCAGAATAAGTTCCACCATCATCAGTGCTCCACATGCAGATCTGGAAAGTACAGTCAGTACAAACTCTTTTGTTATGGCTGAGGCCAGTGGAGACTTTTTGATAGCAGATTTCAGCTCTGCAACAGGCTTGCCAACCTGCTGAGCCAGTCTACTGAGAGACTCATCATCCAAGCCAAAGGCCTCACAGTAACACTTCATGTGAATCACCAAGATGGCTACATCACAGATGAGAGAGAGGCCTGGAACAGGAAGAGCACCAATAGCACATGACAATAGGGCCACTTCCCAAATATGCTCCTGCAGTTCAGTCTTTTTCTTCTCCAGGATCTTTGCTGAGATGTTGGGCACGGCCAGGATGAAAACGTGTCTCTTCTGATCATCCAGCTCATTCTGCAGGGTCTCCTGCAGGAGCTGGAAATCATAGTTGGCCAATTCCCAGCTGGAGAGCAGGAAAACCCGCGGGGAGGCCTCACCTGCTTTTCTCAGGTTCTTTATGCAGTCCTCCTTGATCTCCTGCAGGGTTCTCGCCTCATTGAAATTCTTTTTCCTTTTTTCAGCATTCAAGTCATGATCCACTTTGGAGCGCACGTAGTAAAACCTCTTCCCCATCTTGTGAATCTCGCGGGCCAGGTTGGTGTGGTGGGAAGTGAAGCGCGTAGCACTGACGATGATGAAGAAGTCGTAATTGTTGAATTTTACCTGATTAAGGTATTTGTCTGCCTGAAAGCTCGGTGTCCCAATTCCTGGCAGGTCCCATAGTTTTACATTTGGGAGTCTGGGGTGTGGATAAGCCTTTGGCTCCATTGTTGTTTGTGTCACCCCAGTCTTAGCAGCTCCTTCATGGTCATCATGCAGGCCCAGGATGGCGTTGATGAAGGATGATTTCCCTGTACCTGACTCTCCCGTGATGGCGATGTCCAGTGGGGTGTTTTCTAATGACTCCAGCTTCTTCTGAAGTTCAGCAGCTGCTGCCGTGAGGTTTCCTCTCTCAAAAATGGCTTTCAGTTCTTCAATTTCTCTTCTGGAGAGTCTACCAGCCATGGCAGCCTTTGGTGGTGGCTCAGTTGTTCTTATCACTGATCTTAGAGAAAGGAAAAGAAAAATTCCAGTGATTTATTTTTATCAGGATAAATCAGATCAACCCCTTTCCTTCAGAACCTGCGACTCCTTGGGGAAAGGTTCATTTTGACATCAATTTTAACCGTATGAGGTTGTAATAAAGTTATAAATAAATAAATAAATAAATTAATACAGGCTGATTTTCCTAGAAGCAAACACCCATCCTTTAGCAATAGAAGATGCTCTGGGATGTTTAATTCAATTAAAGAGGGGGAAATAAACAGCTAAAGTTCA